GTGAAACTACACCACTTCTTGGAATGAGATTACAGAATTCCTTATTAAAGGCGAAATACACTAAAGACCTATTAAATGGCATTGGGCCAGGTCGTTACCTGGAATATTGCTCCATTGATTTCAATATTATAGGTCCATCACTATAGAATAGGCTGCCATTTTATAAGGACTGAAAGGAGAAAAGAAATGTGGCACTATGAAAAATGGACAAATTGAGAAAGCAAAATAAATCAGAATAATGACCTCCGTGGAGTAACTGGCTTCTGTTAATATTTGTAATACCGCAAAAAGCTTTGCAAGAAAAAACAACAATATGAAGTTTGTTCATTAGTTGTGTGACAAACCACATGCCTTTAAAAAGAAAAGCCTTGCCTCTGTGAAATGAGGTTGGACTTTCAGGTCAGCCCCCAAGCATCTATATCACAAAAACCCACAACTGATAATTCTCATGCAGCAGACATCAAGCTGATATAGAGACTGATATAACACTTCTCTAGCCACTGTAGCTGTGGTTCATCTTCATTTATGGCACGCTGTTCTTACAGTTTTAGGAAAATCTAGACAGGATTTCATGCTAGGTAGGTCATCATAATGGTGGTCCAGTGCCACATCCTTACTAGTAAGTGGCCAATGCCAAACAATTCAGTAGAATATCTAAGAAAACCCATCACGGACTTTACAAAATAATCTGTTCATATAAATTTCTTCCTAAAGCCAGGCAAATAACACTTGGCTTATGCCTTGAAGCATGAGAGTTTAAAAAAATTTCCACCCCCAACCACTTTTGTCCTATGGTATGCCTGGGCATTCTCATTATCCAAATAAGTGCATAATCCTTTTTTAGAATCCTACTAAGCTCTTGGGCATAATGATAGCTTTTTGCAGTGAGTTCAACAGGCTAATTATGCATTGTGTATAAAAAGTATTTCTTTTTATCAGTTTTAAATTTATTTCTTTTCAATTTAATGGATGCCCCTTTGTTCTTACATTATGGGGAAGGGTGACTAGGAGTACCCAACTGACCTCTTCTATACTATTAATTATTTTATATATCTCTAAGAAGTCTCTACTTATTAATCTCTCTTTCAACTACATAGCCCTAATCTTTTAAATCTCTCTTAATATGGAAGTCTCTCCAGGTCTTTATTCATTTCTGTTACCTATCTCTGGACCTTTTTTGATTATTTTTTTACCGTATATTTTGAGATGATGTAACCAGAAATGAATACTTTCATGCAAAATGTACCAACAGTCTGTAATTGCAATATTACAATACTTTCCTTGTTTTCCACATTTTATAGACTCTCTAATTTTATTTGTACATTGGTCAGATGTCTTAGTTGAGTTGCCTAGTTCATTTAGAACTCAACGCTAGGTTAAATCTGCTCCTTCTAAAACAAATCATCATATTTATCAACAATTGTTTTTTTTCTGCTATTGTGATGGCTAAGTTTCCATTCAGTTGTCTCTAATTCTGCCACTAAATAACTTTGTCATCTGGAAATTTTCCCAGCTTTCTATATACCTTATTTTCCAAATGATTTATAGCTGTTTTAAACTCTACTGCTACAACAGTGCTGTTGGAAATGTTTTATGTATTCTGTGACTAAAGAGAAGAATATGGGCTAGTTGTACACTATGCTGAATGGTAGTGGTATACTGGTATATAGTCATAGTATAGAATATCAAGAAAGAAAAGACCTCAGCTCAAATACTACCCAAAGTTACAAACAGCATTGAGTTTGATGGCCCAATTAGTGCCTATTTTTGTAAGCTGTGCAATAAGGTTCAACACAACTAATCATAATCATGCAGTGGGATTGTATGTGGATTATAGAGTGTGTTGCTAGAACTGCGTATGAAGCTGCCTACACTGGTCTATATTTAAGACAGTATTGTTAGCCTCTTGCTTTCATGAGTACTAAATTCACTCTCACAAAATGTCTGTGTACATTTGGTTGTGCTGAGATTTGGTTTGGGGCAGAAAGGCTGATTCAGGCAGACTCTTTGCTTTATTCTCTTCTGTCTATTCTCCCTTCCTATATGTATTCAAGCATGTAATTCCCCACTGAATTTAGCTCTCCTTCTTTTATTCTGGAAACTACATTTTTACCTCCTCCAACAACCACCTTTTGCCCTCCTCATTTCTCTCACCTATCTAGTTAGCAAATAACACTTTAGGTACTGAGCAGGTAAGCAACATCTCTTAAGAGTGGTGCCAGTGCTGCTGTATGTACTAGACAAGAAAATGAAGTTGTGTAACAGGAGCCTGATTCAGACTTTGGATCAGGCTCTGTTAATAAAGCATCCCTCCCCATCTTGCTGGAAACATCACCTCTTCCACACACCTGGACTCCACTGAACCTGGGGCACAGGAGTGCTCAGATGCTGGCCTTCTGTGCTATCGTGAAGCTAATGGGCTGGCAACATATTGCTTCTGACATTCATAAACCACATTAGACAAAAACAATTCTAAATAAAACAGAGAGACAAAGAGAGAGAAAAAGAAACATCTCTTTCCCACAGAGAAATGGGATCCCACAGAATTTCACTCTACATAGAATTCCTTCTGGTTTATAACTTAAAGGGGAAAAAAAGCTTTGATAATGAATTTGAATAATCATAATTAATTATATAGATATTTATACATAAAATGACAGTAAATATAATTAGCAAACCCCAGCAGGGTACAAAAACCCTGTATTAAATTAGATATGTAAGCTACACTGCATCATTTTTAGGGTTAAGAGGGTTGCTAAGAAGCCTATTTGCTCACCATATTAAAATGTAACTTACTGATATGCCTTCTAGCTCTAAATTGCAAGTTTCATAAGCACTAAAAATTGGCTGACCTACTTCTTGATAGTAATTGAAAAGGATTATTACCGACAATTAGCAAGCATGCAATAAATTACAAAAGCTTCAATGGATAATTTACTTCCCAAATATTGTGTTACAGCAAATGTAACTTTAAAATATATATATAAAAAAAGCATTAGATATTTCTTAGAATGACAATGCAGCCATTGTTTTATGAGAAGTATTTCAAAGTGAAAAAGTTTGTTTCCCATTATATCAGCATGAGATCTTTGATATCATCCTTGTCTGAAGAAGGTTCTTGTGGGTAAATAGCATAAAGGGAGAGGATTTACTCATGTAACTATTATCATGAATTGCCACACAACTAGATTTCTGTGCGTAAGAATGAAAAGGTAGATCACAGGGACAAATTTTACCATCAGATTCAGATTTTGGTATTAAGAAGTGTTTTTCAATGCAGTATTTACAGTCTCTCAGTCCAAACGTTCTTCCTGTTAAGTATCTTTTTGGAACAGCAGCCACCAATGTCAGCATTTATTAGAACTGGGCCTTAATAGTAGCATTCTATATAGGGTGTGAACAGAAGTTACACTTTTGTATGAGGCCGCCAGAAACACTCATCATAACATAACAAATGTTCATAACAAATGTTTGGGTCTGCGGAGCACTTTGAAAATGGCAGATCGCATGAAAAGTTAACCCTCATCTGATGTAGTATCAGATGAAGACACTCTAGGGCAGAACACCTTGGTGAACTTATGTACAGGTTCACATTGAGGATTAATTTTGGGTGATTCTGCCTGCATCACAGGGGCCTTTGTGGGCTGTCACACAGAAGAGACAAAAAAGGCTCCTGGAAAAAGCTCTGTCTCCTCCCTGAGCAGCTGAGTGGGGGAGTGGGGAATAGGAAAGGGAAAACCCCCCCCCCC